GACTCTGCATGAAAGCAGATGTCACCTTAGGGGCGATACAGCTTTTCCCTTGCGAGGGGATGTAAGGAAGACTCTGCATGACAGCAGATGTCACCTTAGGGGCGACACAGCTCTTCCCTTGGGAGGGGATGTGAGGAGGACTCTGCATGACAGCAGATGTCACCTTAGGGGCGACACAGCTTTTCCCTTGCGAGGAGATGTAAGGAGGACTCTGCATGACAGAAGATGTCACCTTAGGGGCGACACAGCTCTTCCCTTGCGAGGGGAAGTAAGGAGGACTCTGCATGACAGCAGATGTCACCTTAGGGGCGACACAGCTCTTCCCTTGGGAGGGGATGTAAGGAGGACTCTGCATGACAGCAGATGTCACCTTAGGGGCGACACAGCTTTTCCCTTGCGAGGGGATGTAAGGAGGACTCTGCATGACAGCAGATGTCACCTTAGGGGCGACACAGCTTTTCCCTTGCGAGGGGATGTAAGGAGGACTCTGCATGACAGTCTTCCTTTCAGTGACAGTTGGGAAAGAAAGCTGCTGGAGGGAAGACTCTAAACGTCTAATAACTTCACAGAGATCAGGCCGATCTACTGGGTTCTGCTGTAGCATATCTAAGAATAATTGTCTGGTGCCGGGCGGCCACGCCTTTAGGTGTCGGTCACTCAATAATGTCTCAGTAACAAAATTAAGGGTGAACCCCAAAGAGAAAACATCAGCCTTGGGGTGACATGGGTGACCAGCAAGGATCTCTGGGGCATAAAAGGGAAAATCACTTGGTGATCCAGAGATATTTGTCAACTCTCCCACGGCTGTAGAAAGCCCAAAATCGATGATGTGGGCCGTGAAGATACCATCGGCTGTGTTCTCTTCTATTAACACATTATCTTCCTTAAAATCGTTATGGACAACGCCCTGACCGTGAATTTCGTCAAGGCTTCGCGCCACGGCGATGTAGATTTGAATAATGTTGGCCGCGGTAAGCAACTTAGGGTGATTGAGTATATCAATGAACGTCCTTCCCTTGCAAAACGACATAACAAGTATGGGCTCATCCGTGGCCCACGTTATGATGAGGGGAGCACCGCCGGCACCGTTTACTTTTTGGGTTATCTCCCTTTCTATGTTGAAATACTTCAGATATTCCGTTTTCAAGCCTTTTTTTATGCACACGAGTTCCCCATTGAATTCGGCCAGGAGGCTGAACGCAAATGCCCCGCTACCCAATTTTTTCTGGATTTTTACAACGCTTAAGAGTTATTTGCTTGTATAACTTTCCATCTTGTTTTAACCAAACGTAAAATTTTATGAAGTACAATTTCAATAACTTTATCGTATAATATACATTATATATTTATATAGTAAGAGGTTATGTGAACATTTAGTACTAGTGTAATGAACATGTAATACAAGTGTAGTGAACATATAGTACTTGTGTAATGAACATGTAATACTAGTGTAGTGAACATATAGTACTTGTGTAATGAACATGTAATACTAGTGTAGTGAACATATAGTACTTGTGTAATGAACATGTAATACTAGTGTATTGAACATATACTACTTGTATAATGAGCATATAGTGCTAGTGTTGTAGTGAACATATAGTACTTGTGCAATGAACATGTAGTACTAGTGTTATAGTGAACATATAGTACTTGTGTAATGAACATGTAATACTAGTGTAGTGAACAAATAGTACTTGTGCAATGAACATGTAGTACTAGTGTTGTAGTGAACATAGAGTACTTGTGTAATGAACATGTAGTACTAGTGTTATAGTGAACATATAGTACCTGTGTAATGAACATGTAATACTAGTGTAGTGAACATATAGTACTAGTCTAATGAACATATAGTGCTAGTTTTATAGTGAAGATATAGTACTTGTGTAATGAACATGTAGACCAGTGTTATAGTGAAGATATAGTACTTGTGTAATGAACATGTAATACTGGTGTAGTGAACATATAATACTAGTGTAATGAATATACAGTCCTAGTGTTGTAGTGAACATATAGTACTAATGTAATGCACATGTAAAACTAGTGTAGTGAACATATAGTACTAGTGTAATGAACATGTAGTACTAGTGTTGTAGTGAACATGTAGTATTAGTGTTGTAGTGAACATGTAGTACTAGTGTAATGAGCATGTAATACTAGTGTTGTAGTGAACATGTATTGCTAGTGTTGTAGTGAACATGTAGTACTAGTGTAATGAACATGTAGTACTAGTATTGTAGTGAACATATCGTGCTAGTGTTCTATTGAACATGTAGTACTAGCGTAATGAGCATGTAATACAAGTGTAGTTGTGAACATGTAGGACTAGTGGTGAAGTGAACATGTAGTACTAGTGTTGTAGTGAACATGTAGTACTAGTGTAATGAACATGTAATACTCGTGTAGTGAACACGTAGTACTAGTGTTATAGTGAGCATGTAGTACTAGTTCTGTAGTGTACATGTAATACTAGTGTTGTAGTCAACATATAGTACTAATGTTGTAGTGAACATGTAGTATTATTGTTTTAGTGAACATATAGAACTAGTGTTGTAGTGAACATGTAGTACTAGTGTTGTAGTGAACATATAGTACTAGTGTTGTAGTGAACATGTAGTACTAGTGTTGTAGTGAACATGTAGTACTAGTGATGTAATGAACATGTAATACCTGTGTTGTAGTGAAGATGTAGTACTAGTGTTGTAGTGAACATGTAGTACTAGTGTAATGAACATGTAAATACTAGTGTTGTATTGAACATGTAGTCCTAGTGTTGTAGTGAACATGTAGCACTAGTTCTGTAGTGTACATGTAATACCAGTGTTGTAGTCAACATATAGTACTAATGTTGTAGTAAACATGTAGTATTATTGTTTTAGTGAACATATAGAACTAGTATTGTAGTGAACATGTAGTACTAGTGTTGTAGTGAACATATAGTACTAGTGTTGTAGTGAACATGTAGTACTAGTGTTGTAGTGAACATGTAGTACTAGTGATGTAATGAACATGTAATACCTGTGTTGTAGTGAAGATGTAGTACTCGTGTTGTAGTGATCATGTAATACCAATGTTGTAATGAACATGTAGTACTAGTGTTTTAGTGAGCATGTAGTACAAGTGTTGTATTGAACATGTAATACTAGTGTTGTAGTGAACATGTAGTACTAGTGTTGTAGTGAACATGTAGTACTAGTGTAATGAGCATGTAATACTAGTGTTGTAGTGAACATGTATTGCTAGTGTTGTAGTGAACATGTAGTACTAGTGTAATGAACATGTAGTACTAGTATTGTAGTGAACATATCATGCTAGTGTTCTATTGAACATGTAGTACTTGCGTAATGAGCCTGTAATACAAGTGTAGTTGTGAACATGTAGTACTAGTGGTGTAGTGACCATGTAGTACTAGTGTTGTAGTGAACATGTAGTACTAGTGTAATGAACATGTAATACTCGTGTAGTGAACATGTAGTACTAGTGTTTTAGTGAGCATGTAGTACTAGTGTTGTATTGAACATGTAAATACTAGAGTTGTATTGAACATGTAGTCCTAGTGTTGTAGTGAACATGTAGTACTAGTTCTGTAGTGTGCATGTAATACCAGTATTGTAGTCAACATGTAGTTCTAATGTTGTAGTGAACATGTAGTATTATTGTTTTAGTGAACATATAGAACTAGTGTTGTAGTGAACATGTAGTACTAGTGTTGTAGTGAACATGTAGTACTAGTGTTGTAGTGAACATGTAGTACTAGTGTTGTAGTGAACATGTAGTACTAGTGATGTAATAAACATGTAATACCTGTGTTGTAGTGAAGATGTAGTACTCGTGTTGTAGTGAACATGTAATACCAATGTTGTAATGAACATGTAGAACTAGTGTTTTAGTGAGCATGTAGTACAAGTGTTGTATTGAACATGTAATACTAGTGTTGTAGTGAACATGTAATACCAGTGTTGTAGTGAACATGTAGAACTAGTGTTGTAGTGAACATGTAATACCAGTGCTGTAGTGAACACGTAGTACTAGTGTTGTAGTGAGCATGTAGTACTAGTGTTGTAGTGAATACGTAGTACCAGTGTTGTAGTGAACATGTAGGATTAGTGTTGTAGTGAATACGTAGTGCCAGTGTTGTAGTTAACAGGTAGTACTAGTGTTGTATTGAGCATGTAGTACTAGTGTTCTACTGAACATGTAGTACTAGTGTTGTAGTGAGCATGCAGTACCAGTGTTCTAGTGAACATGTGGTACTGGTGTTGTAGTGAACATGTAGTGCTAGTGTTGTAGTGAACATGTAGTACTAGTGTTGTAGTGAACATGTAATACCAGTGTTGTAGTGAACATGTAGTACTAATGTTGTGGTGAACATATAATACCAGTGTTGTAGTGAACATGTAGTACTAGTGTTGTAGTGAACATGTAGTACTAGTCTTGTAGTAAGCATGTAGGACCGGTGTTGCAGTGAACATGTAATACCAGTGTTGTAGTGAACATGTAGTGCTAATGTTGTGGTGAACATATAATACCAGTGTTGTAGTGAACATGTAGTACTAGTGTTGTAGTGAACATGTAGTACTAGTGTTGTAGTAAGCATGTAGGACCGGTGTTGCAGTGAACATGAAGTACTAGTGTTGTAGTGAACATGTAGTACTAGTGTTGTGGTGAACATATAATACCAGTGTTGTAGTGAACATTTAGTACTAGTGTTGTAGTGAACATGTAGTACTAGTGTTTTAGTAAGCACGTAGGACCGGTGTTGCAGTGAACATGAAGTACTAGTGTTGTAGTGAACATGTAGTACTAGTGCTGTATTGAACATGTAGTACTAGTGTTGTAGTGAACATGTAGTACTAGTGTTGTAGTGAACATGTATTACTAGTGTTGTAGTGAACATGGAATACCAGTGTTGTAGTTAACATGTAGTACTAGTGTTGTAGTGAACATGGTCATAAAAGTTAACATTTCTTGTATAACATATCGTTAAGGTTCAGTTAAAGATAATGTTGTGTTCCCTGCAAGACCCAGAGAACATGTGGGCCTACGAGGTAGACGCCAGGTCGACAGGGGACAAAAAGTCTGCCCGGGAGGAGCGTCGAGGAGACGTAGTGGTGGGCCAGTACAGCGCCATGGACCCTCATGGTTCTCTCTGCGTCGTCGACTACTCTGTAGCTCCCGACACTGACTTCCAGGCCACTGTTACCAAGCAATCCACCCATGAAAACTTCCAGAGCCAAAGCCAATAGCACCAGCAAAGGCGCAACCAGTTCCAGAATCAACAGACCCGCCGCGACCAGTTCCAGAACCAACAGAACAGCCGCAACCAGTTTCAGAACCAACAGAACCGCCGCAACCAGTTGCTGAACCAACAGAGCCGCCCCGACCAGTTCCAGAACCAACAGAGCCACCAGGCCAATTCCAGAACCAACTGTCTACCCGCGACCCGTTCCAGAACCAACTGTCTACTCGCGACCACTTCCAGAACCAACAAAGCCGCCCCGACCAGTTCCAGAACCAACAGAGCCGCCCCGACCAGTTCCAGAACCAACTGTCTACTCGCGACCAGTTCCAGAACCAACAAAGCTGCCAAGACCAGTTCCAGAACCAACAAAGCCGCCCCGACCAGTTCCAGAACCAACAGAACCGCCCCGAGCAGTTCCAGAACCAACTGTCTACCCGCGACCAGTTCCAAAACTAACAAAGCCGCGGCAACCAGTTCCAGAACCAACAGAACCTCCCCCACCAGTTCCAAAACCAACTGTCTACCCGCAACCAGTTCCAGAATCAAGTGAACCGAGATCAATCTTCTCTGAATATTAGACAGTAATCACAGAGAGACAACCAGTATCAACAGAAACGCAACCAGTATCAACAAGACCGCAACCAGTATCAACACAACCGTAACCAGTACCAGCTGAATCATTACCAACAGAACAGCAACTACTACCAGGAGAACCGCAACCAGTACCAGTCCAACTATCGCACGAGTACCAACCAATACAACCACAACAACCAGTCCAACAACCTCCACAACAACAGGTACATCTCACAGAGTTACGGCTCCACCAACAACAACCACAACTACAACCAAAACTCACACCTCAACTCCAACCTTTTCAACCTGGAATACAACCAACAACTCTCCCGGTTATCCACCAACAACCACAACCAGTACGGAAGGAGCCAAGTTAGTGTGGTTCCTGCTGGAAATCACAAGTATCGACTACAACAAATGAACCACTGGCAACACTAAATGGTTGTGAGAATGTCTTTACTCTGTATAAACTGTCAATATAATACTATGGTACTGTATTTTTATGTATTTCTCGCTAAACAAAGCAGAATGTATTAATGTTTTTTATCTGATTGACGCTATTGTATGTTTCTGTTGTGTTAATGAATGATGTTAAAGTGTTGGTGAGAGTAAACACTAATATGCAGAATAGGTCAAGTGTTGGTGAAAGTAAACACTAATATACAGAGTACGTCAAGTGTTGCTGAGAGTAAACACTAATATACAGTATACGTCAAGTGTTGGTGAAAATAAACACTAATATACAGTATACGTCAAATGTTGGTGACAGTAAACACTAATATACAGTATACGTCAAGTGTTGGTGAGAGTAAACACTAATATACAGTATACGTCAAGTGTTGGTGAGAGTAAACACTAATATACAGTATAGGTCAAGGCATGGTGATATTGGGGACTAGATGGGGTGTATACTTGACTGTTTTTGTAATAGATATGATACCGGTACACATACAGGTTCACATACCGGTACACATACAGGTACACATACAGGTACACATACCGGTACACATATAGGTACACATACAGGTACACATACAGGTACACATACAGGTACACATACAGGTGCACATACATGTACACATATAGGTACACATACCGGTACACATAGAGAGACTTAGGTAACGTAGTACCGAGGTAGATTTATGTGTGTGTGTGTGTGTGTGTGTGTGTATGTGTGTGTGATATTAGCTGGTCTTTGCTATCACAACAGTTACGGCTGGAGATGACGGAATTGAAAACATATCTTATCCCGATTCATGATAGCATGTAGATGTGTGTGTGTGTGTGTGTGTGTGTGTATCTTTCAACTGTACCTGTATCTATCTCTTAACTGTATCTGTCTCTCAACTATACCTGTATCTGTCTCTTAACTCTATCTGTATCTGTCTCTTAACTGTACCTGCATCTGTCTCTTAACTGTACGTGTATCTGTCTCTTAACTGTACCTGTATCTGTCTCTTAACTCTACCTGTATCTGTCTCTCAATTCTACCTGTATCTGTCTCTAAACTGAACCTGTATCTGTCTCTTAACTCTACCTGTATCTGTCTCTCAACGGTACCTGTATCTGTCTATTAACTCTACCTGCATCAGTCTCTTAACTGTACCTGTATCTGTCTCTTAACTGTACCTGTATCTGTCTCTTAACTGTACCTGTATCTGTCTCTTAACTGTACCTGTATCTGTCTCTTAACTGTACCTGTATCTGTCTGTCTCTTAACTGTACCTGTATCTGTCTCTTAACTGTACCTGTATCTGTCTCTTAACTGTACCTGTATCTGTCTCTTAACTGTACCTGTATCTGTCTCTTAACTGTACCTGTATCTGTCTCTTAACTGTACCTGTATCTCTTAACTGTACCTGTATCTGTCTCTTAACTGTACCTGTATCTGTCTCTCAACTGTACCTGTATCTGTCTCTTAACTGTACCTGTATCTGTCTCTTAACTGTACCTGTATCTGTCTCTTAACTGTACCTGTATCTGTCTCTTAACTGTACCTGTATGTGTCTCTTAACTGTACCTGTATGTCTCTCAACTGTACCTGTATCTGTCTCTTAACTGTACCTGTATCTGTCTCTTAACTGTACCTGTATCTGTCTCTTAACTGTACCTGTATCACTACCCTTATGTATTACTTGTACCAATACCTATAGTTACTATATATGCTGATCTACCTATATAACCTAATTCATTTGTCCATCTATTTATATATCTATCTACTTTATTAGGCTTTATATAAGGATTAACACAAACAAACAAAAAACGACATTTTATCACATTATTTAAAAAAAAAACATACAAAATCTTTTTTTTCAATAATATTCATCGGGGGAGAAGATGAGATCAGACCCCTTGAGATAAGCCGTCCCTAACCGTAGTCCTGACACTACGATGAATTTTATTACATTAGACAAAATGCTGGTCGATTGTGCCGTCCCTTCCGATCCCTCGCAAGGAGGACTCTGCGTGACAGCAGATTTCACCTTTGGGGCGACACAGCTCCTCCCTTGCGAGGGGATGTAAGGAGGACTCTGCATGACAGCAGATGTCACCTTAGGGGCGACACAGCTTTTCCCTTGCGAGGAGATGTAAGGAGGACTCTGCATGACAGAAAATGTCACCTTAGGGGCGACACAGCTTTTCCCTTGCGAGGGGATGTAAGGAGGACTCTGCATGACAGCAGATGTCACCTTAGGGGCGACACAGCTCTTCCCTTGGGAGGGGATGTAAGGAGGACTCTGCATGACAGCAGATGTCACCTTAGGGGCGACACAGCTTTTCCCTTGCGAGGGGATGTAAGGAGGACTCTGCATGACAGCAGATGTCACCTTAGGGGCGACACAGCTTTTCCCTTGCGAGGGGATGTAAGGAGGACTCTGCATGACAGTCTTCCTTTCAGTGACAGTTGGGAAAGAAAGCTGCTGGAGGGAAAACTCTAAACGTCTAATAACTTCACAGAGATCAGGCCGATCTACTGGGTTCTGCTGTAGCATATCTAAGAATAATTGTCTGGTGCCGGGCGGCCACGCCTTTAGGTGTCGGTCACTCAATAATGTCTCAGTAACAAAATTAAGGGTGAACCCCAAAGAGAAAACATCAGCCTTGGGGTGACATGGGTGACCAGCAAGGATCTCTGGGGCATAAAAGGGAAAATCACTTGGTGATCCAGAGATATTTGTCAACTCTCCCACGGCTGTAGAAAGCCCAAAATCGATGATGTGGGCCGTGAAGATACCATCGGCTGTGTTCTCTTCTATTAACACATTATCTTCCTTAAAATCGTTATGGACAACGCCCTGACCGTGAATTTCGTCAAGGCTTCGCGCCACGGCGATGTAGATTTGAATAATGTTGGCCGCGGTAAGCAACTTAGGGTGATTGAGTATATCAATGAACGTCCTTCCCTTGCAAAACGACATAACAAGTATGGGCTCATCCGTGGCCCACGTTATGATGAGGGGAGCACCGCCGGCACCGTTTACTTTTTGGGTTATCTCCCTTTCTATGTTGAAATACTTCAGATATTCCGTTTTCAAGCCTTTTTTTATGCACACGAGTTCCCCATTGAATTCGGCCAGGAGGCTGAACGCAAATGCCCCGCTACCCAATTTTTTCTGGATTTTTACAACGCTTAAGAGTTATTTGCTTGTATAACTTTCCATCTTGTTTTAACCAAACGTAAAATTTTATGAAGTACAATTTCAATAACTTTATCGTATAATATACATTATATATTTATATAGTAAGAGGTTATGTGAACATTTAGTACTAGTGTAATGAACATGTAATACAAGTGTAGTGAACATATAGTACTTGTGTAATGAACATGTAATACTAGTGTAGTGAACATATAGTACTTGTGTAATGAACATGTAATACTAGTGTAGTGAACATATAGTACTTGTGTAATGAACATGTAATACTAGTGTATTGAACATATACTACTTGTATAATGAGCATATAGTGCTAGTGTTGTAGTGAACATATAGTACTTGTGCAATGAACATGTAGTACTAGTGTTATAGTGAACATATAGTACTTGTGTAATGAACATGTAATACTAGTGTAGTGAACAAATAGTACTTGTGCAATGAACATGTAGTACTAGTGTTGTAGTGAACATAGAGTACTTGTGTAATGAACATGTAGTACTAGTGTTATAGTGAACATATAGTACCTGTGTAATGAACATGTAATACTAGTGTAGTGAACATATAGTACTAGTCTAATGAACATATAGTGCTAGTTTTATAGTGAAGATATAGTACTTGTGTAATGAACATGTAGACCAGTGTTATAGTGAAGATATAGTACTTGTGTAATGAACATGTAATACTGGTGTAGTGAACATATAATACTAGTGTAATGAATATACAGTCCTAGTGTTGTAGTGAACATATAGTACTAATGTAATGCACATGTAAAACTAGTGTAGTGAACATATAGTACTAGTGTAATGAACATGTAGTACTAGTGTTGTAGTGAACATGTAGTATTAGTGTTGTAGTGAACATGTAGTACTAGTGTAATGAGCATGTAATACTAGTGTTGTAGTGAACATGTATTGCTAGTGTTGTAGTGAACATGTAGTACTAGTGTAATGAACATGTAGTACTAGTATTGTAGTGAACATATCGTGCTAGTGTTCTATTGAACATGTAGTACTAGCGTAATGAGCATGTAATACAAGTGTAGTTGTGAACATGTAGGACTAGTGGTGAAGTGAACATGTAGTACTAGTGTTGTAGTGAACATGTAGTACTAGTGTAATGAACATGTAATACTCGTGTAGTGAACACGTAGTACTAGTGTTATAGTGAGCATGTAGTACTAGTTCTGTAGTGTACATGTAATACCAGTGTTGTAGTCAACATATAGTACTAATGTTGTAGTGAACATGTAGTATTATTGTTTTAGTGAACATATAGAACTAGTGTTGTAGTGAACATGTAGTACTAGTGTTGTAGTGAACATATAGTACTAGTGTTGTAGTGAACATGTAGTACTAGTGTTGTAGTGAACATGTAGTACTAGTGATGTAATGAACATGTAATACCTGTGTTGTAGTGAAGATGTAGTACTCGTGTTGTAGTGATCATGTAATACCAATGTTGTAATGAACATGTAGTACTAGTGTTTTAGTGAGCATGTAGTACAAGTGTTGTATTGAACATGTAATACTAGTGTTGTAGTGAACATGTAGTACTAGTGTTGTAGTGAACAGGTAGTACTAGTGTTGTAGTGAACATGTAGTACTAGTGTTGTAGTGAACATGTAGTACTAGTGATGTAATAAACATGTAATACCTGTGTTGTAGTGAAGATGTAGTACTCGTGTTGTAGTGAACATGTAATACCAATGTTATAATGAACATGTAGTACTAGTGTTTTAGTGAGCATGTAGTACAAGTGTTGTATTGAACATGTAATACTAGTGTTGTAGTGAACATGTAATACCAGTGTTGTAGTGAACATGTAGAACTAGTGTTGTAGTGAACATGTAATACCAGTGCTGTAGTGAACACGTAGTACTAGTGTTGTAGTGAGCATGTAGTACTAGTGTTGTAGTGAATACGTAGTACCAGTGTTGTAGTGAACATGTAGGACTAGTGTTGTAGTGAATACGTAGTGCCAGTGTTGTAGTTAACAGGTAGTACTAGTGTTGTATTGAGCATGTAGTACTAGTGTTCTACTGAACATGTAGTACTAGTGTTGTAGTGAGCATGCAGTACTAGTGTTCTAGTGAACATGTGGTACTAGTGTTGTAGTGAACATGTAGTGCTAGTGTTGTAGTGAACATGTAGTACTAGTGTTGTAGTGAACATGTAATACCAGTGTTGTAGTGAACATGTAGTACTAATGTTGTGGTGAACATATAATACCAGTGTTGTAGTGAACATGTAGTACTAGTGTTGTAGTGAACATGTAGTACTAGTGTTGTAGTAAGCATGTAGGACCGGTGTTGCAGTGAACATGAAGTACTAGTGTTGTAGTGAACATGTAGTACTAGTGTTGTGGTGAACATATAATACCAGTGTTGTAGTGAACATTTAGTACTAGTGTTGTAGTGAACATGTAATACTAGTGTTGTAGTAAGCACGTAGGACCGGTGTTGCAGTGAACATGAAGTACTAGTGTTGTAGTGAACATGTAGTACTAGTGCTGTATTGAACATGTAGTACTAGTGTTGTAGTGAACATGTAGTACTAGTGTTGTAGTGAACATGTATTACTAGTGTTGTAGTGAACATGGAATACCAGTGTTGTAGTTAACATGTAGTACTAGTGTTGTAGTGAACATGGTCATAAAAGTTAACATTTCTTGTATAACATATCGTTAAGGTTCAGTTAAAGATAATGTTGTGTTCCCTGCAGGACCCAGAGAACATGTGGGCCTACGAGGTAGACGCCAGGTCGACAGGGGACAAAAAGTCTGCCCGGGAGGAGCGTCGAGGAGACGTAGTGGTGGGCCAGTACAGCGCCATGGACCCTGATGGTTCTCTCTGCGTCGTCGACTACTCTGTAGCTCCCGACACTGACTTCCAGGCCACTGTTACCAAGCAATCCACCCATGAAAACTTCCAGAGCCAAAGCCAATAGCACCAGCAAAGGCGCAACCAGTTCCAGAATCAACAGACCCGCCGCGACCAGTTCCAGAACCAACAGAACCGCCGCAACCAGTTGCTGAACCAACAGAGCCGCCCCGACCAGTTCCAGAAACAACAGAACCGCCCCGACCAGTTCCAGAACCAACAGAGCCACCAGGCCAGTTCCAGAACCAACTGTCTACCCGCGACCCATTCCAGAACCAACTGTCTACTCGCGACCAGTTCCAGAACCAACAAAGCCGCCCCGACCAGTTCCAGAGCCAACAGAGCCGCCCCGACCAGTTCCAGAACCAACTGTCTACTAGCGACCAGTTCCAGAACCAACAAAGCCGCCGCGACCAGTTCCAGAACCAACAAAGCCGCCCCGACCAGTTCCAGAGCCAACAGAACCGCCCCGACCAGTTCCAGAACCAACTGTCTACCCGCGACCAGTTCCAAAACCAACAAAGCCGCGGCGACCAGTTCCAGAACCAACAGAACCTCCCCCACCAGTTCCAAAACCAACTGTCTACCCGCAACCAGTTCCAGAATCAAGTGAACCGAGATCAATCTTCTCTGAATATTAGACAGTAGTCACAGAGAGACAACCAGTATCAACAGAAACGCAACCAGTATCAACAAGACCACAACCAGTATCAACACAACCGTAACCAGTACCAGCTGAATCATTACCAACAGAACCGCAACTAGTACCAGGAGAACCGCAACCAGTACCAGTCCAACTATCGCACGAGTACCAACCAATACAACCACAACAACCAGTCCAACAACCTCCACAACAACAGGTACATCTCACAAAGTTACGGCTCCACCAACAACAACCACAACTACAACCAAAACTCACACCTCAACTCCAACCTTTTCAACCTGGAATACAACCAACAACCCTCCCGGTTATCCACCAACAACCACAACCAGTACGGAAGGAGCCAAGTTAGTGTGGTTCCTGCTGGAAATCACAAGTATCGACTACAACAAATGAACCACTGGCAACACTAAATGGTTGTGAGAATGTCTTTACTCTGTATATACTGTCAATATAATACTATGGTACTGTATTTTTATGTATTTCTCGCTAAACAAAGCAGAATGTATTAATGTTTTTTATCTGATTGACGCTATTGTATGTTTCTGTTGTGTTAATGAATGATGTTAAAGTGTTGGAGAGAGTAAACACTAATATGCAGAATAGGTCAAGTGTTGGTGAAAGTAAACACTAATATACAGAGTACGTCAAGTGTTGCTGAGAGTAAACACTAATATACAGTATACGTCAAGTGTTGGTGAAAATAAACACTAATATACAGTATACGTCAAATGTTGGTGACAGTAAACACTAATATACAGTATACGTCAAATGTTGGTGACAGTAAACACTAATATACAGTATACGTCAAGTGTTGGTGAGAGTAAACACTAATATACAGTATACGTCAAGTGTTGGTGAGAGTAAACACTAATATACAGTATAGGTCAAGGCATGGTGATATTGGGGACTAGATGGGGTGTATACTTGACTGTTTTTGTAATAGATATGATACCGGTACACATACAGGTTCACATACCGGTACACATACAGGTACACATACAGGTACACATACCGGTACACATATAGGTACACATACCTGTACACATACAGGTACACATACCGGTACACATACAGGTGCACATACATGTACACATATAGGTACACATACCGGTACACATAGAGAGACTTAGGTAACGTAGTA